GCACTTTATTACCTAACAGAATTGATTTATTTTTATCTTTTTTAATTATATATTTATTTTGTTTATTGATTTCATTGTATGCTTAAAGTATGGTTTTTAACTGCTATCTCTGTTTTATTATTGGAAAGCACTTTGGTCAACTTTGTTGTTTTTAAAAGTGCTATATAAATAAAGTTGGATTGGATTGGATTGGATTGGATTTAGAACCCAAGATAACATACTTTATTGAATATATGATAAAAATCTAACAAACTTTATTTGATCATTAGGAACCCCCTCAATATGAACTGTTATTGATGAAATATGCAGAAGGTAGATATATTTTCCATTTCCTTCTTGAGTCGGTCTCTGCGCAATAAACCTTCCTTTTTTCTTCTATTCTATTTTTATTTTCCCATTTTTGCCCCCCATGGTTCATCGCTTTGTTAGTGGATTTTAGTAAAAATGACAGCGAGCCCACCCATACACCCACTCTTCCAATTCACCCACACAGAGAGATGAGAGCGCACATCCATAAACAGCAGGCATCGCATGTGCACACAGGCGCACATTCATGCATTCATAAATTTCGACACATGCACACATTCATGCGCTCAAATTAATAAGCTGTGACATGTGCGCACGTGCTGCGGCTCCTCCACCCACGGGTGACACAGTGCTATCATTCCTTTCTTTAATCCCATTATTCGGCAACATTGACCAGAAAAAAGAAAATCCACTTATTCACATACTTCCCGTTTCTGTCCCTGACGCCAAACACACAAGGCTCTGCAAACACAACCAGACACCAACCAGGGGCAAGTGCAATTGCTCAGCCTACAAAAAAGCAATTTAATCAGGTGTGCTGTGAGAACATGGCAATTTCCTCACAGCATTTCATTTTCCACTAAATGGGAACACACAAATACAAACACAGGCTGAGGAAGTTTAACGCAAATCCCATCTGCAGCTGATGACTCATGTGTTTCTGTATTAAAGTGTGCGCTGATCTCATCAGCAAAGAAGGTAAGGGAATAAACAGGAAGAATGTAATCGTTCTTTACTGAGGGCTAAATAATTCTCAACTGTAACCAAAGCACGATGGAAAAATAGTAAAATACAACTGAGTTCAAGTGGAGTGAAGGTGCAAAAGTCAGTCTCGAAACACTTTTTGGAATCACAAGTTTTTTGATCAACTTCGGTCTGATCTTCATCTAAGCCTCAATTTTATAAAACCATTTTCTATTAAAAAAAAATAACATAGCTGGACTTGAATTTGAACTCATGCTAATAAAAGGGAATCTTTGTGCTAACAACTTCTCTGAAAGCTAGGGAGATGAGATCGCCCCTCGCTATAAATAAATGCACACAAAGTCTGGTTAATGTCTGAGTCTGGGTAGATGATGCATTACAACAATGCACAAAGTTGGAAAAAGCTACAAAAGGATTTCTAGAACAAAAAAAGAACAAAAAGTGAACAAAATGTGTACAAATGGAAGGAACCCCGGACTGTTGTTACTCTGCTGAGGAACACATCCTACAAATATTACAGAAGGTGAAAACTCTTATCAATGTAACTCGTTTAAAACACTCGATAAAAATAGTGCTAATGGAAAGACAACTAAGCAAAAACTACTCTTCAGTGGAAAACAAAACAAAACAAAACATAGAGAATATCAGATGTGTGCTAAAGACCTCTCTGGAAAATGCTGATGAGCCAAAATGTGATCTTTTTGGTGAGAATGTATGCACCACGTTTGAGGGGAAAGGGCAATGTGAACAATGTGAAGCGTGGTGGAGGGATCATCATGGTTGGGGGTTAAATGCATTGTGGTCAGTAAGGAAAAATTCCCCTAAACACACAAAGAAGACACCACCAAATGGTTAAAAGAGATATAAAAAACCAAAAAAGTAAATGAAACTTAGGAACATCTTGGTTCCAATCAGTTCATGAATGAACTGATTGGAAGAAAGGGCGAAAAAATTGGCAAATCTCAAAAAACCGCCACAGTAAACTATACTGTGCTACTAAACAAGGGTCTATCAATTATTCAGTTCAAGAATTCAAGGTGACTTCTTACTGGTTGCAATGAGGGATATTACTCAAGTGTTCTAATAAAAAAAAAAATGGAGATGAATATGTGTTAGTTTAGTGCAGGGGTAGGCAACTCCAGGCCTCGAGTGCCAGTATCCTGCAGGTTTTAGATCTCACACTGGGTCAACACACCTGAATCAAATGATAAGGTCATTACCAGGCCTCTGGAGAACTTCAAGACATGTTGAAGAGGTAATTTAGCCATTTAAATCAGCTGTGTTGGATCAAGGACATCTAAAACCTGCAGGACACTGGCACTCGAGGCCTGGAGTTGCCCACCCCTGGTTTAGTGAGACTATCGATGGCTGTGACCCAGGTGAAGATCCGTACACATGGTGAGTAATCAGTGCAGAAATCTTGGTATTTTCAAAGCTTTTGGGAAAAAAGAGAGAAGGGAGAAAGGGAGAGAGGAATGTGAAATGTTGATAGATTGAGGGATTCATAGATGTGATAATGACGGGCAGAGGAAGGAGGAGATGAGAGACAATAGGACAGGAGTTATGTGAGGATAGAAGAAAGTCTCTGAGTGGTGTTGGTTGATTTTTAACAGCCGTCAAGTGGACTGCTCAAGATAATATGGGGACAAAAGATATGAGACAGGCAACATGATAAATAAACCCTTCTAAATCCAGTGGGATTAAAACAGATGAACAAAACGCAGTAACTATTCACACTGAACACTGTTTTAAAAGAAGGTTAAAAAAACTCCTAAATGCAAAGGACTGACACTGACTCACTGTAAGCTCGTCTGCATGCACCGTGTGCAGGGTGTGTTTGCTCTAAGAAAATGGGACAAATCCTGGATTCACTCCACCTGAGAGGTACAGATTAGCCATCATGTATTTTGAACTGAATCATCAGCAGATTGCGTGAAATGCTGCCAGCAGGACCAGTCGTCCACTTGACACAGCAGAACTGTGATTTGTAAAGCGCTTTAGTCTGGGACTGCTGTGTCAAGAGTCTCTTTTTGGTTGATGTGACGATTCTGAAGCTCCAGAGCTATTAATATCCCAAAGTCTGCCATCACTGACCATTCATAACTGGAGTGGGCTGGGGGGGGGGGGTTCAGCTGAAGGCACATGACAAAAATGCATTACCCAGTGGTCCTATAATTCTTCATGGCCCAAATCTTCATACAGTAACTGTAGATTTGGGCCATCCATCCATCCATCCATCCATCCATCGTCTTAACTGTTTATCCAGTCAGAGGAGCTGGGGGTATGAATCTTGGCCACCCAACTTGAATCAGAAGGTAGTACACTAAATGAGTACAGATTAAAGTGTACACAGAAGTAGAACTGTAATCATTAAATAAACAAAAACGTGAAGAAATAAAATATTTGCTGCTTTTCTCTTCTGTGTTTTTAAAAAAAATAAGGTTTGGATTACTGTTTGGCCAAAGCAACACTGTGACGGTGTCACTGCTGCCAAAGCGTCTTTCAGCTGTTCCCTTATTCACAAGGGGTCCCCACAGCAGATGGATCCACACATTAGTTTTGGCAGATTTTTTTTTTTTTTTTACACCAGACGCCTTTCCCGACAAAACCATAGCAGGGATTTGTGCCCTCTCGAACCAAGGAGCTTTTGTGTGTTGGGCACTGGTGTCTCTGCTTTCACTCAGGGATGTGAAATTTAAAAAAAAAATTTTTTTTTAAAGACATACCCTTCAGCAGCAAAACATCATGGAAAAAAACCCTCATCT